CAAAAATATTAAGGATGTTATTTTTCAAATTCATAGTTTGTTTAAGTTACCGGTGCTTGTTACTTGCTATTAAATATGTAGACACTAGCTTAGTGTCTATAATGCTAATCATTATATCGTAGATATAAACAAGATAAATAAACTCGACATACCACACGTCTAATACCTACAATCAAACAATAGCATGCATTGTGTGTATCAATGAAAAACATCTTTCTGCATTACTTGATAGTTGACCTAACTAAAGTATGCGACAGTGTCATGCGTGTCTAGTGCGTAGGAGTCGCGAGGGCCACAATTAAACTAAGCAAGTCCACCCAGCAAATCACCTTCGTCTCCCGTAGGCTGTTAACTCCCACGCTTCGACAGCGACCTTTTGTTTAAGCAAGCGCAGTTCAACAATCAGTTTGTTCCAAGCTCAATTGCACACACTAAATATTCAAGTATGTTAAACTGTTCCTGCAAGTATACAGCAACATTGAGCCTCATTATGAACTCTGGATTTATATAACTGAGAAAAAAAAATGTACGTATGTACTGCAATATTCAAATAGATAAAAACTTCATACGAAATTCAACATAAAGAGTAAATCATCCACAATTAAACTACATGAAAACAGTAAACTATCTAAGTATAACATTCAATTAAATACCTTAAAAGTTCTAAATTTCTCACCAACACTTTTTATTTTGGAAGAATATTAATTTAAAAAATAACACATTGCAGTTATCCATCTCCATATATATCATGTGATGACCTGCGTAGGTGAAAATACGGTACAGTGTTACGGAATCGACTTCCCAATATAAAATATTAGTAGGATTATTTGGTGCTAAGCGTAGGTTTTAATATCCACACATGGGACAGGTTCAACTCAATATTGTGAAGCGATCGATTTTCATTTTAAATTACAGTTCTCGATTGCTTCCTACGCGCCCTACCCGAACGCATTCTTGCTGCGTTCGGGTACACTACGTACACTAGTCCCACTTTCATTGATATAAAAATTCCGAAAGAAAGACAATTGTTAAATTGTCTGTTATAAAAGAAAAGGTATTTAGTCTGAACACGATAACAATTACCCTCTCCAACCAGTAATCACAACCAAAGAAAATACTACGCATGGAACGAATGACGATCATGTGAACTTGATGATTAAGGGTATTGTTTCAGATCACTAATGATAGTCGCAACATAGTAAGTATTTTCACTGTCTTGGAAAAAAATATATCTCATTAGAGGAGCGATCACGTAGTATAAAAGATGAAACTTAGATATGTTTGAACAGAATCGTGGGAATATGTGGAGAATAGGGGTATCGCATGATCCAGTTTTCTAGAGATGTAGTGGTGGTAGTGGGGTCTTATCGTAATAATGTGTTGCCTATCCGTCAATATTTACCGACTACCATCATTTTCTTTAACTTAAGTTTAGTATCCATTCAATGTTGATATATGAATCATCTTAATTTAACTAAAACCATACTGGTAAACTTGAACTGGTAGACACTTATTATTCGACAACCAAAAATATCGATATTGATGGTTGTTTTGAATCATATTAATTATGCGGCCCACAACATGTTATAACACGTTGGAAAACGACTGGAACAGCCTTGGCTTCTACACCTCCACGCTACCCACGACTACCCTCATTTGGTCAATGAGTGGGCGCGAACGCCTAATCGAAATCTAAGCAACCTTATAATGACCCCCTTTAAGACTCACTTTTGCCACAGGGTTGCGGAACCGTTAGCTTCAAAGGTAGACGTCGCCTACACATCCAAGCGCATTACATTAAATATCATTACATTTAAATTATACTTTGATTTCCTTTTGACACGATCAATGAGGCCAAGGCAAATACATACCTGATCAGATGAAGTAACATCTTGTTTTATTGTACTACTTTTTGAATCACAGACAGGCACAATAATGTCTATTTTCAAAGTTTTAAATGTGCATTTGAGGAAATATTCCTGTCGACTGACGACTGATGGTGTAGGCAGCGTACGCCTTCTAACAAATATTTAAGACATTCAGCAAAAACTCATATGATGTCCAGTAAATCAGTTAGGAAGAGATCGCTGGTTTTTGCTCAGATTTATACCCTATAAAGACACGTTCTTCCTAGATAAACATTTAGCGAGTCAAAATCAACGGTTCTTTAAAAATTATGGGTTATGGGATATTTATTCAAAATGATGATAGCATTTGAAATTCATTCAGGCATATCATTTTATAGCTTCATAATTTTTATTCATTCTTCTTAAGAAAGCGTATCTGTGTCATTTAAAGTCACTGATAACACGTTCATAGGCTATTAAACTTCTATTTTATCTTTTATCAGGCTTAATCTGTACTCTACAAGCTGAATATGTGTAACCTGTTACGATAAACTTATCAGAAAATCTGGCATTTGATTGCCCTCAGAATTGTTCATATCTATAATCACATAGGTAATGACATTAATTGGTGTATCTTTGCTGTTGTAGTAGTATCTGCTATGTTTTATTGATAATGTTATGAATTACTATATACAATATTTACTTTTGTAAATGTATTGTTATCTATTGTGACACGATGCTCGTCTTGGAATGCAAACATGCAAATATTCAGTTTAATAACATGATCATATGAAACTGTAGTCATCTTGTAATGATTGTTGTTAAATGTCAGAGAACTAAATGTTAAGACAAACATGATTGAACTTTTATGTGATTGTGACGAATTTATGTTCGATTATTTAAAACAAGAGTAAGCTACAAGTGAATAAGACTTTTATTAGTTTGCTTAGAATGTTTGAACAGCATCAATATTGTTGCTTCCTCAAACTATATGATTTATTTCGATGAAAATACAAGTTTTATAGTTTCTTTACTGGAACATGTAAATGTTCCTGTGTTTAAAATAGCTTACGTGATTTCTTAGTTCGCCGTAACATGATATGCCACGGCTGTCGGCTGTCAGCTTGCCGTCGATATTTTCGTCAAGTCTTTAACATCGCACGCTGAACTGGCGACGTGTCAAACAAACCATAAAATGATTTTTACTTCATTTGTATTTTCCGTCGTCTATCACAAAAACATTACCACATCCGATTTTCGTAACTCCTTCAGGTGTATTGAAATGAAACTTAAAAAAGACTTCGCTCAATTTAAGAGCCAACCTTTTTAAGGCAAATGTTAAGTCAACAAATTTACGAGAGTGATGCAAGAACATATTACGGGTAAAATAACAAATGTTTTTATTATGTTAACGCAATATGACTGCAATACATAATTTCATAAAATTGTCGCCAATGTAGATTTTTTATTTATTTAAGAATACTTCGAACGAAATGTTAAATAGAAACTGTTGCCCGTTACCACTAAACTTAAGAGTCACCCAAATCTGTCGCCTTAAAAACGTATAATTAGCGGTATTTTGGTGATGATTACCAGTATTTTAACTGAAGAAAAAATCTGGTTTCTTGAGCAGATTTAGAGACATGGAAATAAAATTAAATGAGCAAACACAACAAAAAATTACCAATAAGGATTAAAACTGATACAAATTCTTATTAGTATTTATAACAATAAGAGCAACACAAGATAATCTTCAAACATTAGCATCTATTTTCATTATTTGCATACAAACAACGTTTTTTGTGGCTTCTTCTGTATATTCACAGATATTTAGCCAATGCTTCCATACAAATAACAAAAAGGGCGGCAATAAGTAGTATATTATGGCCATGTTAAAAGTCGCCATAGAGCAAACCTTGTATTGCTACGTGACTAGAGTTTTTAATGTATTTTAACTTCTTAAGTTGTCATTGGTACCGTTAATTTGTATTTATTTATTTTCCATTTGATGTTTCTCAACCAATAGAGTTACTCTCTCAGTTGAAATCTATGGTAACTTAAATTTTACTTTACTATAGATATACGCTTTCAAAAATGGTAAATGTATATATGGATTAATAATAAATAAATGACATTATAAACCTTTATAACTACTTATTATATTACAAAGCTCTTATTAATTTCATTCATAATATATCAAACAAAAAGAACATTGACTACAATTTTTAATATATTCAGACAGCCGTACTCAATGGTTTATAGCTGACTAAATATGGTGACTAAGTTATCATACATTTGTTTGTTGTTGATTTGTTTTAAGAACATTCATAGTTTTAGATTCAATTATATTATTAGAAAGAGCGTGTAAGGTAATTAATTACTAACCAATGTTTTCATATAATGCCTTTAAAAACTAGTGATTAACCTAATACTCATTTAATACTATTGTAATTACATTAGATTTAGTCCTTATGACTGATGACTTGTTATTCTATTCGGTATATATTCAGTAGCAGAGATAAGGTCTACATAGTATACTGGCTGGAAAGTTAACAAAACGAGGCGACAGCCGGTGGCAAACAGCGGTGCGCCTGTGTCGCGCTGCGTACAAATCTCCTACGGCTCACGAGTCTCACAATAAGCGGACGTACGGTACCTACCTGTGCCAAGTGGCGACATTCCGCTTACTAGTACCGGAATGCCTGACCACGGCTCATAAGAACAGGTTATCATCAGGATTTTTGATCCTTAGAGTCGGGCGGCCCCGTTACACTCAATTATAACCTCAAAATGAACACCGCTATCTCAAGAGAGATTTATTTACAACAGCTGCGACGGCAAAATGTTAACACCAAACCAGTTTACTGCAACCATTTCACCGATCTCATTCGTCGACGACAATCTAACGACCGCTGACCGCAAATCGTAATCGGAGAGACGTTCTGCTTTACTTCACTTTTCGAAGGATCGCATTACAAACATCACTGGACCATAACTCGGTGGGGCGAAGACAAAAATAAACTTAATATCGAGTGCGTTGTAGCATTTGTCGACGCATCCAATTTATGATCTGTGGTGACAAGAAACGACGGTGTTTTCTAGTACACTCGCTTGCCGATGTATTATAAATAGTTCGACACGATTTTGACCTACCTTCGTCCAGAAGTCGTTCCATGTGCATGAAAACATTCGGGAACGCAGCCAGTTGCTTCCTGTCTTTGAGCAACTGAGCTAAGTAGTCCGCTATACTTTGCGTCGAAGGATTGGTATTATCACACATCTTGAATACAATTTAAACAACTAATGACACGTTAAATGTCTGTTCCAACACGTTACGATTAGATATTGTACTTTAGTTACTAGTTATTTGTTATTTTTGTGAGACTCTGTTAGAAAAGTTAAAATTCACTTCCACACACATCGACGTTTCGATCACCACTAAATGACGGAGTTGACCGAAGTGAAGTTGAGAGCGAATATAGCGCTGCGCCTGCGCTCTTGTCGGATGGATTTTTTGTGAGCGCGTGCGACTTCTGTCCGCTGTGTGGGCGTAATAATAACGTATATTTTTCTCGCTCGCACTAGTAAACTTGTTATAGCTGTTTCGTTTAACAACAAACCTGATGGCGAGGGAGTCGCCATCTAGACCAATTCGTAATGAATTAACTACTACATTACACACAATATTAGTTATTAACTTTAATAGTCACTAAGTACCATTAGTAGGATAACAATATGTGTTTTGAAATACCTTTCTATTGTGTTGATAGTTAATTTCGATGAAATTTATGAATGTTTTACAACATCGTTTTTACACAATAATTAGTTAAAGTAAATTTATGCTGTTAATAAAAATAGTCTTTTAGATAACCCAAACACAGAGACGAGATTATTTTAGGGAAGGCCGCCAATTGTACTACCTTACTTATTTATTATTTGTGGTCTGTGTTGTTTGTGTTGTACAACCATTCATTCATTAACATTAATTACCGTATAGGAAGAAACTTAAAATATTATTTATGATCTTAATGCATTATACTGGTTAATTTAAAATGTTCATATCAAATAGTGACTCATTCAATTCTCCTACGATAAAAAATGGCATTCCCAATAAAATTGACTTTTAACTACGCCTGAACATTTGATCAATTAAAATAACCCGAGTTAGTTTCGTTTTATCAATTCTGTTAAAAGGATAAATGGATAATTGACCCCTATCCGATGTTCTTGTTGGATCTATCGAATTAAGAGAATTAAGCAATAGGTTCCACGTTCCACATTCAAGAAGATAAAATAACAAGGTCCTTTAGGATAACAGAGAAACAATATAATACTTTCCGTCATTCAAAAATAACTAGGGTTACTTATCAACTGCGCCTTACCAATTTCTGTGATATCATTAATATTATCAGTAGGTACGGGATTAATTGCCCCAAATCGCAACTTAATACCGGAAACAATGAAAATACAATAAATAAACAGCAGGGCTGTAATTACCCTAAGGCCAAAGGCAACATGCCCCGGGCGACGGCATTGTTTTGGAAGTGTGGTATTTTAAAAATTTTCTAACGTCACCTAATGATAATCTGATATTTTCAGCCGAAATAAAAACATCGCGGCGAGTAAAGGCCCACCGAGCTGCCTTGTAAAAATCCGATCCCGAATTTGAATTCATTCAGGTTTCCGAATTTGCTTCAAAAGCGGCCTCCGCTTCACCTTGAATATAATAATAATTGGTAATAACGTTACGTGGCATAAGTAAAGAGAAAAACATAGTGATAGAATATCTAAGAAAGTATAGCAAATCAATTTATGTTTTGTATTTTTATACAAAAAATGGAATCAATAGAATTTCTACACTAAATGACGCGAATTCGGCTAAATGAATTCTGGTCTAGATTTTTACAAAATCGCAGAGCAGCTCACAAAATATGCACCGATAAATAAGAAAAAAATTTTGTCTTCAAACAACAAGAAGTCAAGAAATCGAAATTTGTTTTGAATATACCTCGGAAAGGCTATCAATTTGCTCCTTTAGAGTTCCTTTAGACTCCCCCCCCCCCTCTCTCTCTAAGGGTCATGAGAAAAAATTGTTTGACGTAATCGACGTTGACTATATTAGTCTAGAAAAGCTCGACGACGCAGTGGTTAGCGCGTTTCGTTTGCGATGCTCAAGTTAAGCAAGTTTCGTAAGGGTCGGTTATAGGATAGGTGACCAAAATTTTATTATCTAAAGTTCCTCCGTGCTTTGCAAGGTACATTGAGGCGTTTATCCTGGCTGCATCTGCAGTCGTTAGAACCCACCAATCCGCCAGGGACCTCGTGGTGGGTCAAGTCCCATTCTTCTTATTTGATTCAATTGCTATATGTATGGAAGGTATGTTGCTTTAGCTGTGGGGATTTCATTAGGGATTTTAATTGTGATTATGGTCTCAGGCCAGTGACAGAGATTTTTTCTTTTTTGCTTTTACCGATACCTCGATATTCCCATTACTTCTCCATTATTAAAAAAAAACGTATAATACATATCCTTATAACATAACCGTAACCGTATAATGTCTTAATAATAACATGAGTTATTTTTTTATAATCCATTATCTTGATTATAATATAGAATATAGTATATAGAAATTATATTTTCTATTAGAAAAAAACGAAGAATTTATATCAACATATAAATGTGTTTTCACACCCCGGTCTCCCAGTGGGATAAACCTAATTTTTGATTGCTGCGAAGTCTATAAATAAATAATAAATATCTTGACACACTTTGCATACACTAATAGATAGTAACGGAAAAAATATGAGAGAATTGTTGACAAAAATGCTGGTGACAGGAAACTACCAGCACAGATATTATAATACTATAACTACTGGTAATTATTACTTAAAAGATGATTTCCTCATCACCAACCCATTAATGTCCCCACTGCTGGGGCATAGGTATTCCCTATAGACGGAATGGAATCGAATCGAATAGGGAGAATGGGCCATGACCCACTACGCAGACCCAGTGCGGATCAGTGTTAACGACTGCAGATCCGGAACAAACGGCTTAACGTGCCTTTCGAAGCACGGAGGAACTCGAGACAATTAGTTTTTGGTCACCCATCCTATGGGCCGGTCATAGGATGTGGGTAGTTTCCAAAGTTGCTCATCAACCGTATCGCAGAGCGAGCGTGCTAACAACTACGCCATCGAGCTCCTTAAAAGATGCTTTATTAGTAATTACCTACTAAATTAACCAGGTGATAAAAAATTTTGTAAGATATTCTTCTGTTTGAAGTAATACTTGTAACTGTTTATTTTAACTTAAAAAAAAACCTAAACAAATATTTTGGAAAAAATAACATGTTTCCTTGAGTTAAAATTAAATCAAAATTTAAACTTTTTTTATAGCCGCGTAAACGCTGTCCGTCATGACTACATAGTACACAAACAGATGCATAGAGTAGAAATCAAAAAGGTGTCAATAAAACAAGGTCAGTGCCATTTCGGAATTTAATTTATAATTATTAAGCATATCTTTGTCTATTCTGGCAGTTGTCACCAAAGTGACGTCACACAATGGCGGGTCGTGTTTCAAAAAACGTGACGCAAAGAACCACGACATCGATGATCGTGTGGTTTTAAGGTTAAAAATCAAAATATCTATGTTTATTACGATGTAATTTTTTTTTAATTTTAAGAACTTGCTAGGTAATTCCTAAGGAAAACATGCCATAAATAGGCGACATTATGATTTTTTACAAACTAATTTTCATTCTTATTCATTAATGTTTCGTAGAAAATAGTCCTTCTGTTTTTCAGTAACGGCGAAATAACTGTAAATTGAAATATCACATGATAAATACAAGTTCGCATTAAATACGGGCCATGCGAACTTCAATTTAATATACATCTTCTTACGAAAGTATTTTAAATTGTTGCGATATCATTGTGGAGACTTTAATACCGTTACGAAGAAATGAATCCAGTTTTAAATATAAACCAATACTGGCGAAACTGCATTTTACAAACTACTACTCAATTATCGAATGAAATAATAATGGAAAGGTTTTTTGTCACATCAGATTTATTTCGAGAATTAGAACACTTACCTTAAGAATAAGTACCTTAAGTATAGTTCGTTAATCTGATGGATGATATATGTACGATTTGAAAATTGCGCACGCAAAGAGAGAGCAAAAATTTGTAGTAAATAAAAAATACCAAGAATTTTAAATTTTTAGGACTTAGTAAAAGTACTCGTAAATTACATATTATCTATTTATAGGTACTAATGATAATAAAGGATTTGATTGTTTCCATCGAATAGGCTCCGAAACTTTTTCTCCAGTTTTAATATTCATTCACCTACTGGAGATTACAACAAACCCCAATTAACACAGGCAAAGTCGTGAGAAAACAGCTAGTGTTTTTTTATTTCTTATATTGTTTATTTTTTATTTATTATGGTATTATATTTCACGGGATGGATGTCAAAAAAATAATATATCGAGCTACTCCGTGCTTCGAAAGATGTTAAGCCGTTGGTCCTGGCTGGATTTGCAGTCGTTAATTAATACCCTCCAATCCACATCAGGCCAGCGTGGAGGGTTATGGGTTTCTTTTCGGAGGATGTCCGGAGTCCCGAAAAGGAAGGAAATGTCTCGGGTAATGTTAAATAATTGATAAAATAATTAGATCAATCAATCGCTCGGTAATGACTGAAACAACCCAGAAATAATTCCATTATCTTTGTTTGTTTATCATCAATATATTTTCGAGGCGAAGGATGGATGGCATCTGGCAACCCATCCAACATAACCAACCACCCATAAGGAAGGCTTGAGCCCCCCCCCCCCCCCCCTGCTGTGGGATGTATAAAGGGTGAAGATAATGATGGATGCCAAGAAAATGGATCTATTAGTGTCGAAACGTTTACGCGAGTCCCACAGTAGGTATATACGAGTCAAATGGTCAGAATTCTTATGTCATTATTTTACGACATGTAATAAATTTAAGTTTCGTTTGTCTTTCGGCTTTAATCAGGGTTTAAAACCAATTAGAGATATTTGACCATTTTACACTATTTGATGTACACAGTCATAAAATTATTATTTACCTTTTAATAAAAGAAAAAAAATCCAAAATACTACTTGTTTCTACTAAATACTACTACTTATTTCCAAAATAATACTACAAAACATTCGCCACGCCGCGCTTAGTCTGTCTCAAAGCGAAATTCTCAAAAACCCAAAAAACTTAAATGACAAGACTGCTTCAAGCTTTTCACTAACGTACAGTCAACAGAAACTGTTAAATTTCTCCATATGATTTTAAGCCTTAACACATTGAGTGTAGATGTCAAAATACATTGAGAGAATTTGACATATTGTGGTAATTTGGCGTGCAGTCTTGGCTTATACTGATCACAAGGAAAATTTGCTAAAGCAAT